GGTGACCTTCAGCCAGTCACTTCCTCTCAGCCCTGGGAAGGAGACAATGACAAATCATTTCTGAAAACCTTGCCAAGAAAACTGATTTGTTCAGATTTGTCTCTGAAAATCAGATGCAATTGAACAGAAAGGGGGCAGGGAAAAAGCCATTCTAAGAAGACATTGCGAAAATAGACACCCATTTAAAGTGAATATAAAGATAAAACCAGAAACTTTTCTTTTAGGTTTAATAGATAAGAAATTGGAGGAGAAAAAAAAATGAAACTTTGATGTTATATACATGCTGACAGCAGCAATAATACTCTGTGCACAAAAATGGAAAGAGACTTTGATTCCCACAATGAACGAAAGGCTGCAAAAGTTGATGGAGTTAGCAGAGGTGGTTAAATTGACTGTTTCAATTTAAAAAAAAACCACAATTAATTTTGTTTCTACTTTGAAACCACTTTTAGACTTCGGGCTTGAGGTGGAAAAAAAATTGAAACATTGATTTTGGCTTTTGCTGACTCGATAAGTTTGTTGTTAGAGAAATGGCTAGTATATATGATTACATAAAAGTAAAAAGTTGAGGTTTTATGTTACTACTTTATTTGACTGCACCAAAAGGAGTTGGAAGTCAATGCTTTTCTTTTTCTTTTCCCCTTTCACTTACACTTTTTTTTCCTCTTCCCTTTTCCCTCCCCTACTTTTCCATCACCTTCATTTTTCTTTGTATTTCTGTATTTTATTTATTTATATATATACATATATATATATAAAAGCGAAATACCACTCATGCATCATCACAAAATCTCCAGAACTGTAAAGCCTACAAACTTTAAGTTCGGCACGTATGTTCCTCTTGGCTTCTAGGTGCTCACTAAGAAAGGATTTTTCAAAAGGACCATCAGAGCATTAGTACTTCATGTATTATTATTATTAGCACGCTCTGATGCTAAGGAGTTCTACTCCCCCTCTCCACATGAAAAGAAAACTGTTCCAAATGCAAAACACAAGCAGAGGAGAGGAGTTTCAGTTTCAGTTTCACAGCACCAAGCAGCTTTAGTACAGAACAGTTGAGCTAAGGCACACCCAGGCTCCTTGCTGTCTCCTTCTTCCTCCCACAGCAAATACTATTTCAGTTTCCAAACATCCCTCAACTTTCTCACACACTGACAGGACACTAGCCAGATGAATATTAATGGATGCTGGAAGGCAGAGGCAGAATTCCCCCCACCCCCTTATTTTCCTCCCCAAAAAACTAAGCCTGACCACATAGTTTCGTAGCGAACCACAGGTATAGAGCTAGTATTTTGATAAAACTAATAAAATATTTGTTTTAGCATATAATAAATTGACCCATGGACTAAGTTGGCAGAACACACAACAACCAACACACACACACACACACACAGAGAGAGAGAGAGAGAGAGAGAGAGAGAGAGAGAGAGAGAATGAATTTATCAAGATTAAAACTCTCCAAGTCTAATATAGACAGCCTGTTTGGTGCAGTGCCCCAGAGACTGTGAGTTCTAGTCCTAGCTTTGGTCCAGAACCAGCTGGGTGACTTTGGGCCAGTCCTTCTTTCTCAACCCTGGGAAGCAAGCAATGGCAAAACACTTCTAAAATCTTGCCAAGAGAACTGCAGGGTTACCAGCAGTCAAGACTGACTTGAAAGCACCCCTCCACCTCAAAACCCTTAATCCAATCCAATCGAACCAAACTTTAATCTTAACCAAACAGTGAGAATGTAACCCCTGGTTTGGAATTAACCAGCCTCAGTACTTCTAACGTTTCCTTTGTATTTTTCCTCCATGGGCACTTCATTCCCCGAATCAATGGCCTGAGGAAAGAGCTAATGGAGGGTTCTCAAACTTTAGGTCACGATCTCCTTCCTCTGGAGTTCACGGAGGTCACCCAGACACGCTTGCTTTGCTACAGCGAGAAAAATGCCAAAGGCAGCCCTGTTTTGCCTCTGCAAGCTCCCAGCTTTGAAAGTTGACAAAAATCATGGGCAGAATAGAGGATAGCCAGGGTTGGAAGCAGAGGTGGTATTCAGCAGGTTCCTAGTTCTATTCTAATTGGAATTCTATTCCTATTCCTACTCTCCTCTTTCCCATTCCCATTCCCTATTCTATTTCTATTCTAAATTCCTATTTCTATTCTAATTGGAATTCTATTCTATTCTATTCTATTCTATTCTA